ATTGCTGTGGGTTATATTTAAAAAAAGGGGAAAAATTGGGCCTCCAAAGCGAAAGCGCGCTAGCTGCATAGGGCCCTAGGCACTCCTAGGCGTGCTTTAAGCGGTCAACATTGCCTTTGACCGCTTAATTACCGCTTAGCCTCAAAGCGAGGCGTTTTCATCAAACTTCAAGCCTAGGCGCCGCCTAGGCGAGCTTTTTAGAACATAGATTACATGTAATTTCCTCAATTAGAATTTAACCGAATTGGTCGAGGAGCCTGTCCAGTTGAATAATTAGACCGTTTTACTAACACCCGGTCAAAATTCACCAAAGTATGTAAAAGACTGTCCAAGGCTCCAAAGCTATGTTGGGACCCTCCCGTCCAAGTTATCCCTCTGAACTTGAATTGGTAACATTTTTATTAGGACTGTACTACTCATTGGCTCGTCTCTTAAACAAGTTAGTCGATTTGAATTTGCCGTCATTTTATTGTTAGGTGGTTATAATTATTTACACCACACTTTCTTTTGTAAATACATCATATTTTAATTACATTAAAGAACATTAATCTTTATTCATTATCACACTTATATCCACAATTTTTTTCTTCATCACATTTTTATTTTTAATATTTCATTGATTAGAAAATATTTTTATTAATCATGATTTTCATCCAAAAATATTTTTAACGTACTTTAAAATGATGCCCAAATATTTAACCTCGTTTTTGCATTATTATAAGTTTTACTTATTTAAAATACAATGGGTAAACGAGTTTCTTTACTCCATCTTAAAGAAAATTTGGGAGAGAAATCATAATCATAAACAATTTATGTTAGTTTGAGAATAAGAATGCAATAAAAAAAGTTTGAAACATAAATATGATAATGTGTAAAGGTTATAACCCTTTCATGCAATTAAAATATAGTTTAGTTATTAAAAACTGTTGTTTAAACATATTTAGCCTTTATTTTTATTTTTTTTCATTACATAGGGGAAAAAAATACTTTCAAGTGGATTTATATTTGAAGGAATTTAACTATTCAATGTAAATTTAAAGAATAATTGTATTCATCATCAATGGTATCATCACCGATTTAGGTTATGACGAGCCTTGATTTATTATCCAATGAAAATACATCGAACATTGAATCAGATGGCCATATCGTCTAGACCAGTGATGATTACCAAGTTGTCTTGAAAATGTGAGGGAGAGCCACATTAAATTTTGTGGTTCGGGATTCGTAAATAGGTTACAGGGTTCGTAAATATGTTAATAGATGTTTTGTCTGATTCCTTTTTTAATATACTCGAGTCAAGCTGGATTTTTTTCGTACGATTCACTTTTTGACTCACACGAGTAAACTCGTCAACTCAAATCATTTTGCTTGGGAGTTGAAAAACTAGAAATATTAAAAACTAGTGGTGAGATGGTCCAGCAAGCCGAGCCTAGGCTTTTTGGAATGAGTCAGCTCGTGATCAAATCATCATATTTGCGAGCATGAGTTAGCTCATCAGGTGGGCCGAGTCGAGCCAAGCTGAGCCTGATGTAGGAAAGTTGAGAGCTCGGCTCAATCCATTTAACACTCCTAAACTCACTTGATAATGTTAAATTCTCCGCATCACTATTAAGTGTCAACATGTCACCAAATGACATTATTTGTTACTCTAAGCCGTTAAAAATAGTTGCTAAAAAATAGTTTGTTTATCCTAGTCAAGCAAAAAGAATCAACCAAAGCTAAAGTTATATTACAATTTTTCGTATGAACATGTTTAATATCCAATTCCTAACGCCAAATTTTGCTAACTTGATGTAATAAATAACGTCATTTTGTGAGAAGTTAGCACTTCATGGGCTACATAGAACTTAACATTAATGTTTTTAGCTGATTGACCATTAGCATAACAGCTAAAAACTTGAGTGACTATTACCGTAAATAAATAATGTCAATAACCATTAACTTAATTACTCAAAAATTCAATGACCATTGGTGTTAATAACCCACGATCTTTTACTTCGATAGCATTTTGGGTTCCAGGATAATGTCATTTTTTATTGGTAAAAATTATTATTCCTTACTCATTGTGAAGACTGAAGAATATACTCATCAATTATGATCGATACCAAGTATATCAATGACAAACATCAATAATGATATTAAATTTATCGGTTAATCGTACCATGACAAACATAAGTTATCTCGCCACCAATCTGTTGACTTTGGTTTCTAATTGGACAACATGATCAATAGATCCTAACTCCACTTACATCCACATATAAAGCTCCTACACACTTGAACAAATCATCAAAAATACGTGGCTTGCTACGGTAGTAGCAGAGGCGTTAGTAAGTACTTCAAATGTCAAGTCATTCAATTATAAAAGTGAATATTGGGCTTGGAATGAATAGAAGACGCAATCCATAAGAGTGTGTATGGGTACTGATTGTAGAGAGGAAACAATGAGCAAGATTGCTATGTGGAAAGTATAAAATTGCATTACCTGTAATTGATAATAACCGTGAGCTTTTATAATGAAAGATGTGAATTAATTACCATTGGATGAAGGACATGTGTCCTCATCATAAGGGCCGACACATCATCCTCATAGGTGTCCCTTCTATAGTCCTTAAGTTCAGACAACATTTAATGATTTATAAAAGTAGTTACCCTGTAGGTTAGGTCTCACATACAAAAAATATACTGAGAAGTTGATGTTAGAATTTGGGCATGACCCGAATTCCTTGTTGAAGTAATTGAAGAATTCTAATTGAAGTGCACTTCATGAAGAATTCAAATTTGGAATATTATTGGAGTCCTATTTCATGTTGAAGTTCTATTTTGGAAGGTCATTGGGAGTTGGAATTTGTTTTGGACTCAATTTTATCGTATCATACTTCATAAACAACTCTACTATGTGGGTTTGGACATCCCCTACTTATTCCCTATAAATACTAGGCTCTTCTATACAATTTTAGAATATGAGAAAATAGATTACTAGAATTATAGGATCAATTGTAATTTTTTCTCTTCTTCATTATTCTTGAGTTAATAAAATCTCTTAATTCCTCTGCCATATTCTTGTCTTTATTATTTTTTTATCATATACTTCATTATTATTTTCCATATAATTTCAACATCTCAATCTGGTGGTTTGTTCCACAACAATTGGTATCAGAGCTATTATGGTATCTTGTTTGGTATCAGAGCCTAGGTTCAGTAGTTCTGCAGTGCTAGGGTTTTTTTTTTCATTTGTTTGAAGTTTTTTTTTCGTGATGGTTACCATGAAGTATGACATTCTGCTTTTGGATCGAAGCATTAGATTTTCACTATGGTATGTTAAGATGCGTGCAGTATTCGCACAACTGATTTGGATGATGCGTTGCTAGGTATTGACAGGATGCCAGCAAAGGGCGGTCGATCGGCCCCAAAGGGCGGTTGACCGGAAACGCTCCAACTGTCCGATTTTTTACCATTCTAACTTCTGATTTTTTCCGTACAAATGGTCATTTTGGTCATCCGAAATTGGCGGTCGACCAGACTGATCATTCGGTTTGACAAAAACTTTGACGTTTTTCATCTCTATAAATACCAACTCATTTCTCATTTATTATAAGAACGTTTGAGCATTCAATTTGATACTCTTTGAGCTTACATTGATCTCTTATATCATTTATTTTCAAATCATTTTGCTCTTGAAAAACCATTGATCAAAATTAACTCTTGAAAAT